ATTTCTGAAAGGCAGCAGCAAATAGCAGCTTAGCAAGGAAGAAGGTGCCCCTACGACTACCAAACAGGGAGCCTGTAAACAACCCCAGACGCCCACTGTGGTCAGGACTGCTTTGCAAGCAAGCTCTGCAGGAGAACAGAGGGCTTTCGTGCTTTCTGCGGGTGGCTCCTACTCAGCACACATGCCACTGTCCACCTGCCTTTGCCAGTGACAGGCATTGCTAATCGCTCCCTGCACTGGGACCGCCAACAGCTGAATGTCAGCTGACCCCAGGGAGCGTAATCAAGGCCCGTGTGGCCATCCAGACACAGACTACAGGCTCTTATTAGTAAACCAGACAGGCTTCTGAAATTGGAGCCTTCTCAGACCAGGAACCATGGAGAAGACTATTTTAAGAATGCTGCCCACGGCACTGAGTAACCACCACCTGCTGATAACTCCTGATTTTAGCTAGGAGTGGGAAAGTGTGTGATAATCACAGCCTCCCAGACTCACATGAAAGTAAGTCGTTCTGGGATTCTGAGTGGGTCCACTGACCTTGGAAACTCCCACATTCTTTCCCTTGCATGCTTGGGCTGTTTTAATCTACTTTGTGTTCCCTGAGTTCACAGGCTCTGGAGATAAGTTCCTTTCTGATGGGGGCTCTGGCACTGCCCTGCACAATGAGCATGGGGGAAACTGACCTCGAACTTGCCTCTCAAAATCATTCCGCAACTTGGTGATCTCCTCAGTGTGTTTCTGCACAGGGGAAAAGAGGCCATTACTAGACAGCCAGACACAGAGGAAGCCGACTCCCTTCAGGCTGACCCTAACCGCCATGAAAAACCCAGCTCAGCAAACCTCATTCTGCTGCTGGTTGCTGGGTTCTCTGCTCCTCCAGGTTCATGGAATATGCCCAGGATAACATGGTTCTGGTGCCCTCCACATTTCCTAACTCACTTCCCTCAACTACATCACCTCTCAGCTTGAGAGAGAACATGAACAGACACTGTGAGCACTGAACCCAGCTTCGTTCCCTTGCCAAGCCATCCCACAGCATGGAGAGCAGCAGCCACATCCAGAGAGCTGCGGCATCTCTGCAGGTCCTGTGTGCAGCTTCCAACCTGCTGCACTGTTGCCGAAACCAGCATTTTAAAAGTATTTTAATAGGCTGGGCATGGTGAATCATGCCTGTAATCCCAGCACTTCAGAGGCCAAGGCAGGAGGATCACTTGAGGCCAAGAGTTCAAGAGCAGCCTAGGCAACACAGCAAGACCCTCTACAGAAAATTTAAAGATTGGGTGTATGTGGTGGCACATGTCTATAGTTCCAGCTACTTGGGAGGCTAAGGTGGAAGGATCGCCTGAGCCCAGGAGTTCGAAGCTGCTGAGCTACAATTGTACCAATGCACTGCAGCCTGGGAGACAGAATGAGACCTCATCTCTAAAAATAAATATATATTTTTTTTAAACAAATAATTTGTATATATTTCAATAAACATTATATATTAAAATTTTGAATAAAAAAATTATTTTTTTTTCCTCAAGACAGAGTCTCGCTCTGTCACCAGGCTGGAGTGCAGTGGCGCAATCTCAGCTCACTGTGACCTCCACCTCCCAGGTTCCAGTGATTCTCCTGCCTCAGCCTCCCAAGTTGCTGGAATTACAAGCACGGACCACCCCACGTGCCTGAAAATAGAAAATACAGTGGCGCAATCTCAGCTCACTGTGACCGCCTCCCAGGTTCCAGTGATTCTCCTGCCTCAGCCTCCCAAGTTGCTGGAATTACAAGCACGGACCACCCCACGTGCCTGTAAATAGAAAATAAACTAGAAAATAAAATTTTTGTGTTTTTAGTAGAGACAGGGTTTCACCATGTTGGCCAGGATGGTCTCGACCTACTGACCTAGTGATCCACCCACCCTGGTCTCCCAAAGTGCTGGGATTACAGGCTTGAGCCGCTGCACCTGGCCACTGATTTTTTTTTAAAGCAGTATTTTCATCCAACAGGGAACCCTGATTATGTAACAATACCACTTCCAGGACCCGGATTAAGACCAGACAATTCTGGAGGGTTCAAGACTCCAGCACCCTCATGCTTTGCTGCAAAGTCAGCAGTCACCAAGTTTCTTCCAGATTCAGTTGAGGCTCAACTGCTTCCAGGCATGAGGCAAATATGTTAGGCTCCTTGAGACCAGGCACAGTGGCTCGTGCCCACAATCCCAAGAATCTGGGAGGCCGAGGTGGGCGGATCACCTGAAGTCAGGAGTTCGAGACAGCCTGGCCAACATGGTGAAACCCCATCTCTGCAAAAATACAAAAATTAGCCAGGCATGATAGCAGGTACGTGTAATCCCAGCTACTTGGGAGGCTGAGGTGGGAGAATGGCTTGAATCCAGGAGGCAGAGGTTGCGGTGAGCCACGATCACACCACCGCACTCCAGCTTGGGTGACAGAGCGAGATTCCGTCTCCAAAAAAAGAGAAGGAAAGAAAGTCTCCTCTACCCAGCACCAGGAAGAACCTTTGAAGACTAACCTCAGACACATGTCTCCTCCACCCATTCTCAGAGTGCAGTGGACTCCCCCAGGTCTAAGTCCCAGTCCTCACCCGGCTTTCGAGGTGAATAAGCACAGACCCCTCTCCCCTCAGCGTCCTCCTTCTGTTCCTCTGGGCCTTCCCACTGGCCTACCTCTCTCCCCGCTGGTCACCTACTTGTACAAAACTGTACCCCTCCTCTCCCCACTTTGCTTTCTCTGTGTCATGTGTCCCCACCAGATTCTCTGTTTTATCTGACACATTTATTTTGTCTTCCGACTCACCTGTTGCCTTTCTAGACCATCAGCCCCGGTCAGGCAGGCATTTTGCCAGAGATCAGATCAGGACCTAGCAGCTAATGGACGCTCAGCAAACAAATTCCTTCCTTTTTTGTTTTGTCTCACTCTGTCACCGAGGCTGGAGTGCAGTGGCACGATCCTAGCTCACCACAGCCTTGACTTCCTGAACTCAAGGGATCCTCCCACCTCAGCCTCCCAAGTAGCTGACACTATAGGCATTGCCGCCACACCCGCTTATGTTTGTTGGTACTGTTATTTGAGACGGAGTCTCGTTCTGTCGTCCAGGCTGGAGTGAAGTGCTGCCATCTCGGCTCACTGCAGCCTCCGCCTTCCGGTTTCATGCAATTCTCCTGTCTCAGCCTCCCAAGTAGGTGAGACTACAGGCACCCACCACCATGCCCAGCTAATTTTTGTATTTTTAGTAGAGACGGGGTTTCACCATGCTGGCCAGGCTGGGCTCAAAATCCTGACCTCATGATCCACCCGCCTCGGCCTCCCAAAGTGCTGGGATTACAGCCCTGATCTACCTCCCCAGCCATGGGTTTGTTTTGTTTTGTTTTTCTGTAGAGATAGGGTCCATCCTGCTGAGCAGTCTAGGGAAAAAGAAAGGAATCAAAAAAAAAAGAGAAAAAACAAGATAGGGTTCAATGATTTCACCCAGGCTACTCTCAAACTATTGGCCTCAACCGGTTCCCCCATCTAACCCTCCCAAGTGCTGGGATTATGGGTGTGAGCCACCGAACCAGGCGCACAAATCAATTTTAACAGTGCCCTGGAAACTCCCAGCTTCAAAAGTAAAAATCAGCACAGCTTGTGTGACAAACCATCACAGCTGCCCAAGGGCCGACACACTGGACATTTTAATGGTTGGTTCACTTTCTACTAAACGCCAATGACACTATTCTCTAGGAAAGTACCTGGGCATCATGTGTCAGCAGCACATCAAAGACCCTGAGCTGGATTTTTCTTCGGGGATGTCAATTTTTTCCTCAGGGCTGAGACAGCATTGTGCACTTGGCCCCAAAATGGGGTTTGTTTGGATACACGCTTGAAATATACAGCTAGTGCTCGACTTATGACCACGATTGGTTCCGACAGACCGGTCGTAACACGATTTGGTCGTAAGTTGAGTAGGCTATATGCACGCGGAGATGGTAGTGCTGCTGGAAGCTGGTCCGCACTGTCGTATGCCCAGCTGGGCAACGTGTGCGCTGCCAGACGTGGAGCAGTCGTGGCTAGCAACTGTGGTCGTAAAGTCGAATGGTCGTAAGTTGCATAGGTTGTAAGTCGATCAATACCTGTATATATATTTCAACAAACTAAAAAAATGCAGGAGATCTTAGGTAAAAATATGAATTCCCAGTTGCTGTTGAATAAACCAGAGTTCATGCAGCACTGGGCTTGCGTCCCCAACAATCTGTCAGCCCCCACGTGCCCCCATCACACCTACCAGCCGCAGGTTCTTCACCACCACCTCATTGGCCAGCTCCTGTTCCTTGAGCTCCACCTTCAGCGCCCGCATATCCTTGCGCAGCGCACCCTCCTGCGTGTGGTGCTCCTTCTGTGCCAGCTTCATGATCACGGTGCCCTCAGCCTTCATCTCTGTCAGGTTGTTCTGGTGCTCATAGAGCAGGTGCTTCACTTTCTGCTTGTACACCTGCAGGGCAATGAGAGTACCACCTGCTCACCTGCACCACAGCTACTCACCTACACACCTCCTCACCTGCACCACACCTGCTTACCTGCACACCTGCTTACCTGCGCATCTGCTCACCTACACACCTGCTCACTTACACACCTCCTCACCTGCACACCTCCTCACCTGCACCACACCTGCTCACCTACACCACAGCTATTCACCTACACACCTCCTCACATGCACCACACCTGCTCTCCTACGCCCTACCTCCTCACCTGCACCACACCTGCTCACCTGCACCACAACCACTCACCTACACACCTCCTCACATGCACCACGCCTGCTCACCTACACCATACCTCCTCACATGCACCACACCTGCTCACCTACACCATACCTCCTCACCTGCACCACACCTCCTCATCTGCACCACACCTGCTCACCCGTATACCTGCTCACCTGCACCACACCTGCTCACCTGCACCACAACCACTCACCTACACACCTCCTCACATGCACCACACCTGCTCACCTACACCATACCTCCTCACATGCACACCTGCTCACCTACACCATACCTCCTCACCTGCACCACACCTCCTCATCTGCACCACACCTGCTCACCCGTATACCTGCTCACCTGCATCACACCTGCTCACCTACACCATACCTCACTTGCACCACACCTGCTCACCTACACCACAGCTATTCACCTACACACCTCCTCACATGCACACCTGCTCACCTACACCATACCTCCTCACCTGCACCACACCTGCTCACCTGCACCACAGCTGCTCACCTACACACCTTCTGACCTGCACACCTGCTCACCTACACACCTGCTTACCTGCACCACACCTGCTCACCTGCACACCTCACCTGCACCACAGCTGCTCACCTACACACCTGCTTATCTGTACCACAGCTGCTCACCTACACACCTGCTCACCTGCTCACCTGCACCACACCTGCTCACCTACACCACAGTTGTTCACCTATACACCTCCTCACCTGCACACCTGCTCACCTACAGTACAACTGCTCACCTACACCATAGCTGCTCACCCACACACCTGCTCACCCGTACACTTGCTCACCTGCACACCTGCTCACCTACACCACAGCTGCTCACCTACACACCTGCTCAACTGTACACCTGCTCCACACCTGCTCACCTACACCACAGCTGCTCACCTACACACCTCCTTACGTGCAACACCCGTGCTCACCTACACACCTGCTCACCTACACACCTCACCCATACACCTGCTCACCTACACCACAGATGCTCACCTACACACCTGTTCACCTGTACCCCTGCTCACCTGCACCACACCTCCTCACCTGTACACACGTACTCACCTGCACCACACCTCCTCACTTACACACACCGGCTCACCTGCACCCACCTGCTCACCTATACCATACCTCCTCCTCACCTGTACACACCTGTTCACCTGCACCACACCTCACCTGTACACACCTGGTCACTTGCAACCACCTGCTCACTTGCACCCACCTGCTCACCGAACCACACCTGCTCACCTGTACATACCTAGTCACTTGCACCCTCTTGCTCGTCTGCACCAACTGCTCACTTTCATGCTTCCTCACCCGCACACACCTGTACACACATGGTCACTTGTACCCACCTACCCACCTGTACACATCTGTATGCACCTGGTCACTTGCACCCACCTGCTTACCTGCACCCACCCGCTCACACCTCCTCATCTGCACATACCTGCCCCACCTGCTGACCTGCATCACCTCCTCACTTGTATTACCTGTGCCATCTGCTCACCTGCCCATACCTCCTCACCTGCACACACCTGCCCGCTTGCATCCACCTGCTCAACTGCACCATCTGCTCACCTGTCCATACCTCCTGACCTGCCCATGCCTCACCTGCACACACCTGCTCACCTGAGCCATCTGCTCACCTGCCTACACCTCACCTGCCCATGCCTCACCTGTACACACCTGCCCACTTGCATCCACCTGCTTACCTGCACCATCTAACCACCTGCACCATCTACTCACCTACCCACACTTCCTCACCTGCACACACCTCCTCACCTGCACACACCTGCTCACTTGCATCCACATGCTCACCTGCACCATCTGCTCACCTGTACCCACCTCCTCACCTGCACACACCTCCTCACCTGCACACACCTGCTCACTTGCATCCACCTGCTCACCTGCACCATCTGCTCACCTGTACCCACCTCCTCACCTGCACACGCCTCATCTGCACACACCTGCTCACTTGCATCCACCTGCTCACCTGCACCATCTGCTCACCTGTACCCAACTCCTCACCTGCACACACCTCCTCACCTGCACACACCTGCTCACTTGCATCCGCCTGCTCAACTGCACCATCTGCTCACCTGTACCCACCTCCTCACCTGCACACACCTGCTCACTTGCATCCGCCTGCTCACCTGCACCATCTGCTCACCTGTACCCACCTCCTCACCTGTACCCACCTCCTCACCTGCACACACCTCCTCATCTGCACACACCTGCTCACTTGCATCCACCTGCTCACCTACCCATGCCTCCTCACCTGCACACACATCCTCACCTTCACACACCTCACCTGCACACAGCTCCTCACCTGCACACACCTGCCCACCTGCACCATCTACTCATCTGTACCCACCTCCTCACCTGCACACACCTCCTCACCTGCACACACCTTCTCACCTGCACACACCTGCTCACTTGCATCCACCTGCTCACTTGCACCATCTACTCACCTACCAACGCCTCCTCACCTGCACACGCCTCCTCACCTGCACAAACCTCCTCACCTGCACACACCTCCTCACCTGCACACACCTGCTCACTTGCATCCACCTGCTCCCTTGCATGACTCCTCACCTGCACACAGCTACAGATGCCTGTTCACTTAAGCAAACCTGCACACTTGAGGCAGAGTCAGACACCAAGGCTGGGAGGTGAGGTGCATCCCCAGCTCACGGGGTGCTGAGGGGCAGAGCTGAGTTGCAAACAGGCCAGCCTGCCCCCAGAGCCCATGCTCCTTCCACGTTGTGGAGGCTGCATGTTAAACCTCAGGACCTGCAGGGTCTCTCCTGACACTGGAGAGATGAAGTGTCTCTCCCTCGGCCTCTTTTATAAAAAACGTCTTTAGGGCTGTGACTCCCAAAGCTGAGAACAGTGTCCCACCCTCACCCTCAGGGGGCCCAGCTCTTCTGTGGCTGTGTGGTGACCAGGTGGGCACGGGCAGGCTGGCCCCACTCACCTTGATCTCCACCTGGTGCCTCTCCTCGGCCTCTTCCATCTCCCGATCTTTGTTCCTGAGCTCGGCCTTCTTCTCCTCCAGCTGCCTCCGGGTGATCTCCCAGAAGGTGTGGATTTTGTCCCGCTCCAGCTGGAAGTAGTTGCGCTCCTCCCGCTCACGGTCCAGCTCCTCCCGGATACGGCCCACATGCTCCTCCACCTGGCCAGGTGCAGTGGGTCAGGTGAGCACTGGGCAGGGGCCCGTGCATAGCAGAGGGGCAGGTGGCCGGAGAAGGGCAAGGAAGAAAGAGGGTGGACCCATTTTCACCTAAAATTAAACAGCTGAACATAAAAAGTTAAGATGTAAAGCTAGGAAGCTCCAGAGACAGAATACATTGAACAAGTGGCAGAATTCTCTTCCATTTGGCCAATAACATAAAATAACTATATCCTTTCATCCATTTCTGAGAATTTATACCTAATGAATTTCTTAAAAGAAATATAAGAGCTTGTTGCTGAAAGATATTACCGACACCATTATTACAAGAGCAAAAATATTAAAGAGGAAACAATCTGAGACCAATGTAAACAGGGAATGGGCTAGAGGTCGCGGCTCTCGCCTGCAATCCCAGCACTTTGGGAGGCCGAGGCGGAAGGATCCCTTGAGCCCAGGAGTTTAAGCCAGCTTGGGCAACATAGCAAGACCCCATCTCTGCAAAAAAAAATTTTTTTTAATTAGCCAGACGTCATGGCACACGCCTGTAGTCTCAGCTACTGGGAAAGCTGAGGTGGGAGAGTCACTGAGGCCCAGGAGGCTGAGGCTGAAGTTAGTCATGATAAAGCCACTACACTCCAGCCTGGGTGACAGACTGAGATTCTGTCTCAAAAAATAAACAGCCAGGCATGGTGGCTCCCAGCATTTTGGGAGGCCAAATCGGGAGGATCTTTTGAGCCTGAGAGTTGACCAGCCTCGGCAACATGGCAAAACCCCATCTCTACAAAACAGAAAAATAAAAATTAGCCAGGAGTGGTGGCACGGGCCTGTAGTCACAGCTACTGGGAACACTTTGGGAGGACGATCACTTGAACTTGGGGGCTCGAGGCTGCAGTGAGCCGTGATCGCACCACTGCACTCCACCCTGGGTGACAGAGCAGGGCCCTGTCTGAAAACATAAATAAATGAATACTGCAATGGTTGAAAACTTAAGAGTGTATCAACTGGGAGAAATACCACATTACCCAAAAAACAAGTATACAATGAGGTAGCAACATTTAAACAAATTCATATAATGTTAAATGAAAAAAAAATTACCTTTAAAGGTACAATGTTAAGCAAAAAATATACAAGACCAGCAGACTCCTCACCCTCAAGAGGGTTCAACTGCAAATCTGCAAATAGGTTAAAAAAAATGTAGGACAGGCTTCCAGCTTTCTGGGGAGCCCATTTCCCTTAAGAATCAGTTATTTTCTGGGCACAGCCCCAGGCCCCTCCAGCCAGGTGTGCCCAGGTCACCTCCAGCCCTACCCTCTGCCTGGACCCTAAGGAAGTCTTCTGAGTCTGTGGCTCCGTGTGCCATGTGCAGTGCAAGGCTCTGCCCAGTGGGCTACACAGCCACTGCCACACAAGGCCTGTCTCCACAGGGAGGCGGCAGCAGCTCACATGCTAGGACAAGGCAATGTTCAATCCACTCTCCACCCAGCAGCTCCAGACACCTTTTCTGAACACAAACCTCACCCCATCACCTCCTCGCTCAGCCCCCGGCTTGAACTGCTCGTGCTTTCCCTGCATGTAAAACACGGCCATTCTTTAGCATGGTTCAAGGACCTCTGCCCAGCTCCAAGTTCAGGTCATATGACTCTTCCGTAAGTCTCCTTCTATTTATTTTTTATCTTAATACTATCAAAAGAAGGTAACAATTATTACAATAACACATGAGCTGACACAGCACTCATGTCAGAGGCTCATGGGGCAGTCATCCATCAGGGCAGAGGCCAGAGGCTGCACTGTGCTCGCCAAGGCCTGCAGGTTTCAGGAGCCTCTTAGGTAAAACTGTAATTACATAATTATGTTCTGTAGCCCTTAACTGCATCCAAATGAAGAATGGACTTGAAATAACTCCTACAAAGAAACTATAGAAACAACACCTCCTCCCCAAAATAAGCATAGCCAAGAAGAAAAAGGCAGCCCTGATGGGACTTATATCAAAAACAATGATGATCAATCAGGCTGAGATGTGATTTTAAGTAACTCACCTTTCTTTTAAAATCTTCCTTTTTGAGATAATGTTTAATTGTGAATAAAATAAAGGTGAATGCTACGTGTGTGTGCTATGACGGGTAGATTGAAAGAGAATACTCAAAATTAAAAATAGCTTTTAAATCAGAGAAACTTGTCCTTCCAAATTCCTACTGCCCTATCAAAACGTTCTATCATGGGCTCTGTTGCCTTTTTGAAAACACACAGTCCACGTGAAAGCTTTGCAGCTGATCAGAATTATGGACCAGGCTGGAGTGCTTGTCCTGGCTTGCACAAAAGAGTAGATCCACATGGTGAGATGGACAAATGGTACAGCCACGTGAGAGGTTCACATAGGAACCCTGCGTGGCGCCCACCCCGGGACTAGGCCACTGCCGGCTTGGCTCACCTGACCCTGAGTGGCACCCACCCACCCCGGGACTGGGCCACAGCGGGCTCTGCCCACCTGACC